GTCGACTCAAAAGTCAAGCACAGCACGATGGAGGAGTTGACAGCGCTACGGCGAGCGGTTACGGCTTGAGCCTTGAGGTGTTGGATTAGCTGCTGGGTAAGCTGTTGGATAAGCTGCTGGATAAGCTGTTGGATAAGCTGTTGGATAAGCTGTTGGATAAGCTGTTGGATAAGCTGTTGGATAAGCTGCTGGATAAGCTGCTGGATAAGCTGCTGCACCACTGCGAGCGATTAATCTTTGAGCCTTGAGGTGTTGTGTTGGATAAGCTTGGAGTGGAATCTAGACGGGTTACTCGAGAAGACTTGGGAGTACCTTGATCTCGTGCGAGTGTACACCAAGCCACGGGGGGCGAATCCGGACTACGAGGATCTGGACCGTCTCAGATGCTCACCAGCACACCACGTGCATCTTCCCTTCCCTTTGTTTTGGTGAACACATTGGAAATGCAGTGCTCATCTGGAGTGGAATCTGGACGGGCTATTGGAGAAGATTCGGGAGTACCTTGATCTCGTGCGGGTGTACACCAAGCCACGGGGGGAAATCCGGACTACGAGGTTACAGACCCTCTCACATGCTCACCACCACGTGCATCTTCCCTTCTCTGTGTTTTGGTGAACACACTTGGCATGCAGTGCCCACTTGGAGTGGAATTTAGATGGATTGCTGGAGAAGATCTGGGAGCACCTTGACCTCGTGCGAGTGTACACGAAGCCACGGGGAGCGATTCCAGGGCGGAAAAACATGTGCACATACCTTTCTTCCCTGCGTGTTCTCTCAGTGCCCACTTGGAGTGGAACCTGGATGGCTTACTGGAGAAGATCTGGGAGTACCTGGACCTTGTTCGAGTGTACACCAAGCCGAGGGGAGCGAATCCGGACTACGAGGATCCGGTGATTCTGTCGCGTGCTCTCACCACTGGTTCCCTCCCTTCTCTGTGGCTGGTGATCCAACATCCATGCAGTGCCCACTTGGAGTGGAATCTGGACGGACTATTGGAGAAGATCTGGGAGTATCTTGACCTCGTGCGGGTGTACACGAAGCCACGGGGGGCGAATCCGGACTACGAGGATCCGGTGATTCTGTCGGGCAAGTCGGTGACGGTGGATGACTTCTGCAACCGCATTCACAAGGACATGTCCAAGCAGTTCAAATAGTGAGTCGGGCAGTTCAATTAGTGGGTCGGGCAGCCTGAAATATTGAGTCGGGCAGCCTGAAATGCTGGGTCGGGCAGGGTGGACTTGCCAGTCGGGCAGCGTGAAACAGGGAGTTGGGCAGGTTGAAACAGTGGCTCTCACGGGATAGTGGGGAGGGGAGGGGAAGGGGGGTAGGTGGGGGAAGAATGAATCCGGATTACGAGGATCCGGTGATTCTGTCGGGCAAGTCGGTGACGGTGGATGACTTCTGCAACCGCATTCACAAGGACATGTCCAAGCAGTTCAAATAGTAAGTCGGGCAGTTCATATAGTGAGTCGGGCAGTTCAAATAGTGAGTCGGGCAGTTTAAATAGTGAGTCGGGCAGTTTAAATAGTGATTCAGGCAGTTTAACTAGTGATTCGGACAGTTTGAATAGTGAGTCGGGCAGTTTAAATAGTGAGTCAGGCAGTTTAAATAATGAGTCGGGCAGTTTAAATAGTGAGTCAGTCAGGCAGTTTAAATAGTGAGTCGGGCAGTTCAAATAGTGATTCGGGCAGCTCAGTTAGTGAGGCAGGCAGTTAAAATTGTGAGTCAGGAAGCTAGAATAGTGAGTCGGGCAGTTCAAGTAGTGATAGGGCAGTTCAATAAGTGAGTCGGACAGTTAAAATAGTGAGTTGGGCAGTTCAAATAGTGAGTCGGGCATCTTGAAATAGTGTGTCGGGCAGTTCACATATGGAGGCGGGCAACTCAAATATTCAGGCAGCTCGAATAGTGAGTCGGGCAGCTTAAATAGTCAGTCAGGCAGCTCAAATAGTGAGTTGGGCAGTTTAATTAGTGAGGCGGGCAGCTCGAATAGTGAGTCGGGCAGTTTTAGTTATGACCTGGGCAGTTCTAGTCGTGAGTCGGGCAGGTCTAATAGTGAGTCGGGCAGCCTGAAATGTTGGAGCAGCCTGAAAAACAGAGGTAGGCAGGATAGGAGCAAGTTAAGTAGATGAAACAACGAACTGCCTCTTATGTGGTAACTCGCTCTTATTTTCCCCACTCTGGTACAAACTCTTTGCTTGTGCTCTCACCCCCGCTCTCCCCTTGTGTTGATGGGTGACAGACTGCAATTAACTCACCTCTTGCTTTCTTCCCTTCACATTCCTCCCCCAATCTTGTTTGTCTCCTCTTCCCCCTCTCCCATCAGACCAGTGCTCTTATGTGAGATTCCAGTGCAAAACTGTAGTTAACTCACCTCTCGTTTCTTCCTCCTCTCCCCTCTCCACGTATGTATGCCTGCCGACTTACCCACCAGTGCTCTCGTGTGGGGATCCAGTGCCAAGCACAAGCCGCAACGAGTAGGCAAGGTGAGTGCTTGCTGTCTGTGACTGTGACGGCTCGTGCTCAAGGCTGGCTGTCTGAGTGCTCGCCACAGGCTGGCTGTCTGAGTGCTCGCTGTCAGAACTTTATCCTTCTTGTATTTTGCTCATATACTAGTTTTCTTGGGTAAAGATTGGCACTCAATTTCTGTTCTGAGCTTACAACTATGACTTGCCTTCGCAGGGGTTGGGAAATCAACCGTCGCCCAATCGTTTGGCTGTTTAAGGTTGAGTTGAGTTGAGATATTATTGGGCCTCGATTCCTTGCGGCTAGCTATGCATGCCACGGAAATCAAGTCTACACATGAGCATGAGATAGAGGACAAGGATGATGTGGACGCCTCCTTGAAACAACCCTCTCCCCGCATCCGCCCCCCCTCCTCCTCGGTACAACAAGAGCTGGACTGGAGGACGAGGATGATTTTTTAGTCGACTCAAGAATCGACTTACTATCCGCTCCCCCTCCTCCTCGGTACAACAAGAGCTGGACTGGAGGACGAGGATGATTTTTGAGTCGACTCAAGAATCGACTTACTATCCGCCCCCCCTCCTCCTCGGTACAACAAGAGCTGGACTGGAGGACGAGGATGATTTTTGAGTCGACTCAAGAATCGACTTACTATCCGCCCCCCCTCCTCCTCGGTACAACAAGAGCTGGACTGGAGGACGAGGATGATTTTTGAGTCGACTCAAGAATCGACTTACTATCCGCCCCCCCTCCTCCTCGGTACAACAAGAGCTGGACTGGAGGACAAGGATGATTTTTGAGTCGACTCAAAAATCGACTTACTATCCGCCCCCCCCTCCTCCTCCTCGGTACAACAAGAGCTGGACTGGAGGACGAGGATGTGGTGCTGGCCGTGAGAAAGGTGTGAGAGACGGACCGAATAACCCCCCTTCACCCCCCCCTTTCCCCACCACACCCCACCCCCCCCCCCCCCCTCCCTCCTCTTCTCCTCCCCATTCATCAGGAGCATGAGCTGGAGGACGAGGATGTGGTGCAGATTGTGAAGAAGGTGTGAGAGATGGCCTGGATGCCTTTTCTTCTGAGGTGTGAAAGAAGTTTTGGGGGAAAAAAAAGAGAGAATACCAACTGCTACCAACAACGATCATCTGCCGGGGTACCTACCGTCTGGGGTCAACTGGAGGCGTAAACAGCCATGCAGCTTCCACACCACACGCACAGCCTTCTTTCTATTCCTATTGTTGTGGCGTGGCACTTGTTCGACACGGCCACAGCAAAGCTTAGCTGGAGAGTGGGGAGTGAGTACAGTGTCGGAGGCGCTTAGAAAAAGAGTACGGTAGCGTTGGTGTGACATGAACGCGCGTATCGGGGCAGCCTGTTGAAGGGCTTCTGGTGGAAGCTACTACTACGGTAGTTGGAGTTTTAATACATTGTTCAATTGCTTTTGGAACATTTGGGACGGTGAGATTTGTCCAAACCTAAGAACCCCAATGGTTCTCAAATGCCGAGTTATTAGTACACTGTCGGCTGCTGCTGGTGCGTATAAATTCAGACTGGTGTAGACATATGGTACTGGTCTTGACAAGGGGTGTTGACTTCTGCGACTGTATAGCATTTTGAAGGGCACTGCGCAGTAATTGATTGGGCACTAACATGAGATTTTCCTTATTGGAACTCCTAGTGTATACAAACTGGAGTGCCATTGGTGCAATGCCAACACCTCATGTCTGAACAACTATTCCCTGCTTCTCCCTCCCTCTTCTCCATGTGCCCAGTACAGTTCAACCAAACCCCCTACAACAGCTTGTATTTGTGCAGTAATAGCTCCCAACCCAGCCTTGGTGCCTTGAGCCCTCCTCTCCTCCATGACCCCTTGTGTGTGTGTGTGTGCCTGCCCGCACGTGCCAGCATCAGCCAAAACCTCTCTTCCACCTCCATCTTCTCTCCAACTCCTCCCCATCCCCACTTCCACCTCCTTCCCATCCCTTGTTCCACCTCCTCCTATTGGTCACTAAAGAAGTAGTTGTTCCACTGTGCTCGTGTCGTGCACCCCCCCTTTTGAGTCGACTCAAAAGTCAGAAGTCACCTTCTGAGTCGACTCAAAAATCCACCTCCTCCTATTGGTCACTAAAGAAGTAGTTGTTCCACTGTGCTCGTGCACCCCCCCTCCTCCACAATCCCTTCCGAGCGAGCTGAACATGCGTGCACCAGTCTTAGCCACTCTTCTTTTTCTCCTTCCAATTTCTCTCTGATTACTTCCCCAACTAATCACCATCTCGCCAACTCCTCTCAAGTTCTCCATATCCCCTTCCATTTCCTCACCATCTCCTCCCCATCTCCTCCCCACCTCCCCATCTCCCCACCTCCTCCCCATCTTCTCTCACGGGTCTGTAAAGAAGTAGTTGTTCTACTGGCCTCGTCCATCCCCTCTCCGCCATGATCCCCTCTGAGCCGGTCGCACGTGCAAGCACCAATGGATGCTCATCAGTCCCCCTCCTCTCCTCTAATGGGTCTGTGCAGTAGAACCACCATGATCCCTTCTACTGCACTCGTCCATTTCCCCTCCCCACCATCTCCTCCCCATCTCCTCCCCATCTCCTCCCCATCTCCTCCCCATCTCCTCCCCATCTCCTCCCCATCTCCTCCCCATCTCCTCCCCATCTCCTCCCCATCTCCTCCCCACCATCTCCTCCCCATCTCCTCCCCATCTCCTCCCCACCATCTCCTCCCCATCTCCTCCCCATCTCCTCCCCGTCTCCTCCCCATCTCCTCCCCATCTCCTCCCCATCTCCTCCCCATCTCCTCCCCATCTCCTCCCCATCTCCTCCCCACATCCTCCCCATCTCCTCCCCATCTCCTCCCCATCTCCTCCCCATATCCTCCCCATCTCCTCCCCATCTCCTCCCCCCCTCCCCATCACAGTTCTGTGAAAAAAGTAATTGTTGAACTGCCCTCACCCATCCCCCTTCCTCCACAATCCCTTCCCTGCCGGTCGCACATGCGAGCACCAGTTAATACTCGTCACCTTGTAAGGCACCGACACTGTACTCCAGTTCCCAACTATATTGGAGTGACTTTTGAGAATTCTCAAAAGTTCCCAAACCAACTGCCCTCCTCCTTCTCTTCCCCACCTTCCCTCCACCTCCCCATCACATGCGCGCACCGGTTAACACTCGTCACCTTGTATAGCACCGGCACAGTCCTCCCGTTCCCAAACACCTTCCTAAACCTCTCTTCCACATTCTTCCCCTTCCCTATCACATCTCCTTTCCATCCCCTCCCCATTTTCTCCTTCTCTCATGGGTCTCTGAAAAAGTAGTTGTTTGACTGCCCTCGGCCATCCTCCCTTCTCCACGATCCCTTCTGTGCCGGTCGCACGTGCGAGCACCGATTAATACTCGTCACCTTGTAAGGCACCGACACGATACTCCCGTTCCCAAACAGCCCCGCGAAATACGAAAACGTGCTCAAGTAGCTATCGAGTTCCACTATAACGTGACTCTTTCCCAACAGGTAAAACTCTGCCATGGTAGGAAGCCGCCCCGTGTGCTTATCCGTGGAAACCCCAACATGTGCCACTTCTGCTCCGTTATAATAAACAACACCGTATGGAGCCAATCTGGTTACCATCTCGGGCCGTAACGCCTCGTTATCCGTCGCAAGAAAGATTGACAGCGCCCGCCCCTGGCCTCCGTTCTGGTTACCACCAGTAACACCGGCTCCTCCGGTCCTCTTGCTGCTACCCACTCTGGCTTGCTCCCCTAGTTCTGTCAGCAACCTCCCCACACACTTCCATGTGAGGGGGTTGAGATATAGCTCCCTGTGCTTCTGCCTCTCCTGCTCTACTTGCCTCCTCTCACACTCCTCCTTGCTCTCCCCCTCCGCTCTCCCCGCCCCCTCACACTCAGCAAACAGCCGATCCGGTCGCTCCAGGACGGCAGTTCTTGTCCGTATGTGCAGCCCCACGTCGAACTCCATTTCCAGCGGCGAATCAGCAGCCGCCACGTCAGCAGGCGACAGAGGTAACTTCAACCTATCAGGATCCGGCTCGTGCCTGCGTAAGATATTTTGGATCGTCTGACTCAGCGCCAGCGTGGGCCCGCCTGCCAGCAAGGCATGGAGGGCTGCTGACCTGTACCCCCCACCTGCTGCTGGGCGGCAAGAGACCTTTTCCGGGAAATCCGGAGAGGAGGATCCGAGACTTAAAGCCCGGCACGCGCATTGGGATAATCTCCTGTCGTTTAGCCACCAGTGGTCCCAAAACGCGTAGCTGAACGCGAAGACGATTTTGTCCGTCCATTGCAGCGCGGCTCGGGCTGTGGGGTGGGTTACCGTCGCGAAAGTAACGTTGCTCTCGAATTCGTACAGCATCGCGTCTGGATCCGTCGCAGCGTCGTCCGCGTCCCACTCGTACGCCTGCCAGCCCGGCTGCCCCTTGCTACGCCGACCCCTTCGCCGATGCAACACTAACCGCCTCCGAGCCTGGCTTTCGGGTTCGGTCACAGGTTCGGATCCATCTGCGTCGATGTCTTCTTCCCGCCTGCTTAACTCGATCCTCCGTTTTCCGCGATTCGCGGCGAATCTCGACAGTCTTCTCCTGTTGCTCCCCGATTCTATCCTAGAATCTAACAGCTTCTTGGGGTATATGTGGTCGAAGTCGCATTTAAACGCCTCGCATGTGCTGGCGAGCACGCCGTGAAATTTACCCGCGTGGAGAATGACTATCCTGCGACCGGAGATTAAAGCCCACATGTAAGCTGACACCCAATTCCGCAGCGTGTTTCCGAGGCCGAATCGCGGAGCTACTACGAGCACGCGTTGCCCGTCCTCGAGCCGCTTTAGATCGTCCAGCGTCGTGATTGGCCCGAAGGACTCCCGCGCCGCGAGAACCGCGGGGTCGAATCCCGGCGCGATCTCCGCGCATTCGGCAGCGAGATCGGCGGGATGGATTCGCTGGGGCCGGAGAAACGGGGTTTGCCAGGCGGAGGAGCTGACGTCAGCGTCGGAATTTGGCACGTCGCGGTACCGAACGAGAGGATCAGGCTCGGTGTCGGTTGGGGAGTCGTCATCGCTTTGAGGATCGGCTCCGAACTTGTCGAATTCTGTCAAGATTCGCCGCACTTGACGGGATTCCAGGGATTCGTTTGGTCTAGATTCGACAAATCTGGATTCATCTCGCCCGGATGGAGTCACACTGGTGGTATCGAGCGTGTCTGTACTGAATGTGACAGAGAGGAGGGTGGCCAAGCTTAGGAACAGCAGAAGCGTGCGCGAGAGAGTGGGTAATCGGGAAGAAAAAAGAGGCGCAAATCGACGATCGTGCGACATGGGCGCGTAAAAAGCCAATTAATTCCAAAACAACAACTAATGATCTATGCCAGCTCCTACCAGCACGTAAAAGCGAACTGTGATGTCGTGTTGACGATCTGTGTGTCCCCTCCCTACCTCCGAGCTTGTGTTGCGATTTAGTTCGGCAGGCACACACACCAACGAGGCTTCATGGCGGGGCTGTTTTTTTTCGCGAATTGCGCTTCTCGGCTGCGTGGCAGCTTGACATGGTAACCACATTTGTTATGCCTCACCTGATGTGTGCACGAAAAGTGGCAGTCTGGGTGAGTGGTTGGATCGCAACAAATGTGTTTTCGCCAATCGCTCAACCCGAGTGTGTCGCAATTCTGGTTGATCCAACCCGAAGAGTGGGACTTTTGAAAGCGGTGAAACCCGAAATAATTTCTGACCGTGCTTCAACGTATGTCACCGAGCAGAACGAACACTGCACGAAAAACTGTGACCCGCCATTATGTGTAATATTTTTTTGCGACAAAACGACTTCATTTTCGCCAGTAAGTGCCAGCACTCACACCTCAGTTTCCCTTGCTCCGAGGTGGTGACAATGTTGGTGATGTTCGCACGATTAGACGCCTATTTCGCTCCGACTCGTCTCTCTTCGTGAAACTTTGAGAGAAGCTCGCATAAACACCGGCCATACCAGTTTTGGCTTTGTTGGCTGGTTTGTCTTCACCGCTCTCCTTGTATCGAGGATGTTTCTAGAAGCCAACATACCTATCGTAGGTTCCGCGTCGCTCACAGATCAGCGCGACTGGGCGGGAACGGCGGTGGCACTGGGATACCATGGCGTCGCGTTCAACGTCTTTAAGGGACCCAATGAGAAGGTCGAGCCGCGCGAGCGGTGCGCCGTTAAGGCGGTTCCGATGGAGTCTCTGCAGGCGACTCGAGAGAGAGTGCGGCTCGCGCTGAAAGGAGCACAGGTACGCCGCGCGGGTTGCGCAGGGGAAGGGGATGGGGGGTGGCGCGGTGGGAAGGGGGAAAAAAAGGAGGGAGGAAAACGGGAGGGGGAGAGGGAGGGGGAAAGGAGAGGGGGAAGGCGGTTGAAGAGGGGGCGCGGGGGAGGAGGAAGAGAGAGGGGGACGGGGAAGGCAGCGAGGAGGGGGAACGAAGAGGGGGAAGGGGAAGGGGAAGGGAAGGGGGAAGGGGAAGGGAAGGGGGAAGGGGAAGGGAAAGGGGAAGGGGAAACGGGAAGGGAACGAGAGGGGGAAGGGGGGGGAAGGGGGGGGAAGGGGAGGAGGAAGGGGAGGGGGAAGGGGAGGGGGAAGGGGAGGGGGGAGGGGAAGGGTTGGGGGAAGGGGAAGGGGAAGGGGTAGGGGAAGGGGTAGGAGAAGGGGAAGGGGAAGGGAAGGGGGAAGGGGAAGGGGAAGGGGTAGGGGAAGGGGTAGGAGAAGGGGAAGGGGAAGGGAAGGGGGAAGGGGAAGGGGAAGGGAAAGGGGAAGGGGACGCGGTGACAACAGCATCGGTCTACGAGGTCTTGGCCGATTCTGATCGAATGGCTGAACCATGACCCATCCCTTCCCCTATCCTCTTCTCATCTTCTCCCCCCCTCTCATCTCTTCTTGCCAAACCAAGCCCCATTGCATACCAGCATTTCTCCCAACTCGTCTGTGTGACGGCAGGCAGCAACGGTGGAGTGTGTGTGGCCCTGGTGCGGTTACTAGGGATGAGCATAAGGGCGAACCTGGTTTGGCCCAGCCCTGGTCGAACCGGCCCGGTTTTGGCCCGGGCCGAACCTCGAACTTTAGCTGCTGGCCCAGAGCGGGCCGAAGTTCGGCCCGCCGAGCCTTAAAGGTTCGAATTCGGCCTGCGTGGAAAAGAGCGGGTCGAACCGGTTCGCCCCGCGAGTTGACTTTTGAGTCGACTCAAAAGTCAACCCGAACCAGTTCGCCCCGCGCCGCAGCCTGACGCGGGCCGAAATGGCCTGGATTGGGCAATTTGACGCGCGGGTCCTTTTACCCGCGCGGGTCCGGATTGACCAATTGTCGCCGACAATTGGTCGAGCTCATTGTTAAGCTCCTCCAACTTCGGCTAATCCTTAGCTCCCTCCCCCTATGGCGTTTTCTGCCGACTAGTCAGAAATGTTCTAAACACGTTCAGCAATTCGCATATCGGGCCGATATGAGGTTGTCTCTAGACTTTCCGTTTTTAGGACTGACCATCGCGCTTTTGCGGAAACGGTCAATAGCGTCCGAATTCTCAGGGTTGTTAAGGCAGTCCATTTTTAGGCTTACCAAACTCGTTTTGATAAGCCCTAGCACTTCATCAGGCAAAAATGGCACAAATGTGACTATATTGAAGGGTGCACGGGCCGAACCAACCCGACCAGGGCCGAAAATGTTTTGGCTGAGCCCTTTTCGGCCCGCCCTGTCTATGGGCAAAGGGGGCCGCAAAACTTCTCGGCCTGCCCGGATCGGACACTAACCTATCCCCCTGTCTCCCAAACGGTCCTTTGTATTGATTCAGGCAGGCCCTGTCTCCCTGTCTCTCCCACTCCCATTCGCCCTCCTCCACACTCCCGGAACCAAGTCCTTTCTAAACGAGAGCCCTTCATTCGCCCAGCTGGTGCGCGTGACAGCCGCGGTGGACGAGGGCGGGCGGCCCTGATGTGATAGCAGACTGATTGATCCCTCTTTCTCCTGCCCCCCTCCCTTTTGATCTTGCTTCGCCAATCCAAGCCCCTCTTAGACGATGCCCCTTCATCCCACCAGCTCGTGCGCATAACAGCAGTGGTGGAGGAGGGCGGCCCTGACGTGATAGGAGGGCAGCACACTAACCTGACGTGATAGGAGGGCAGCACACTAACCTGACGTGATAAGAGGGCAGCACACTAACCTGATGTGATAAGAGGGCAGCACAATAACCTGATGTGATAAGAGGGCAGCACAATAACCTGATGTGATAGGAGGGCAGCACACTAACCTGATGTGATAAGAGGGCAGCACACTAACCTGATGTGATAAGAGGGCAGCACACTAACCTGATGTGATAAGAGGGCAGCACACTATCCTGATGTGATAAGAGGGCAGCACACTAACCTGATGTGATAGGAGGGCAGCACACTAACCTGATGTGATAGGAGGGCAGCACACTAACCTGACGTGATAGGAGGGCAGCACACTAACCTGACGTGATAGGAGGGCAGCACACTAACCTGACGTGATAGGAGGGCAGCACACTAACCTGACGTGATAGGAGGGCAGCACACTAACCTGACGTGATAGGAGGGCAGCACACTAACCTGACGTGATAGGAGGGCAGCACACTAACCTATCCCTCTGTCTCCCTGTCTCTCCCACTCCCATTCGCCCTCCTCCATACTCCCCAAAGCAAGCCCCTTTTAGATGAAGTCCCCTCGTTCATCCAGCTCGTGCGCGTGACAGCAGCGGTGGACGAGGGCGGCCCTGATGTGATAGCAGACTAAACTATCCCCCCCTCCTTCCACACACTCCCTGCCCTTATGCACTCTCCCCCCCTTGCTATATACTCCCCGAACCAAGCCCCTTCTAGACGAGAGCCCCTCGTTCGCCCAGCTCGTGCGCGTGACAGCAGCGGTGGACGAGGGAGGCCCTGAGGTGATAGCAGAGCGACTGCCCACGGTGGTGGGGGTTGGATACGACCTGGCTGCTGTGCAGCCACTGAACAATGACAGCTTCCTGTCAGCCTGCTACAACAGCAAGGTGGGTATGCGTGTGAGCATAAACAGCCACTTGTGCGCATAACAGCAGCGGTGGACGAGGGCGGCCCTGACGTGATAGCAGAGCGCCGCCTGCCCACAGTGGTGGGGATCGGATATGACTTGGCGGCCGTTTCACCGATGAGCAATGACAGTTTCCTGTCTGCCTGCTTCAACAGCAAGGTGCATGCGTGTGTGTGTGTGTGTGTGTGTGTGTGTGTGTGTGTGTGTGTGTGAGTGTGGGTGTGTGCATCTTGGTATGTGTGCGTCTCGATGTGGGTGTGTGCATCTTGGTATGTGTGCGTCTGGATGTGGGTGTGTGCATCTTGGTATGTGTGCGTCTGGATGTGGGTGTGTGCATCTTGGTATGTGTGCGTCTGGATGTGGGTGTGTGCATCTTGGTATGTGTGCGTCTGGATGTGGGTGTGTGCATCTTGGTATGTGTGCGTCTGGATGTGGGTGTGTGCATCTTGGTATGTGTGCGTCTGGATGTGGGTGTATGCATCTTGGTATGTGTGCGTCTGGATGTGGGTGTGTGCATCTTGGTATGTGTGCGTCTGGATGTGGGTGTGTGCATCTTGGTATGTGTGCGTCTGGATGTGGGTGTGTGCATCTTGGTATGTGTGCGTCTGGATGTGGGTGTGTGCATCTTGGTATGTGTGCGTCTGGATGTGGGTGTGTGCATCTTGGTATGTGTGCGTCTGGATGTGGGTGTGTGCATCTTGGTATGTGTGCGTCTGGATGTGGGTGTGTGCATCTTGGTATGTGTGCGTCTGGATGTGGGTGTGTGCATCTTGGTATGTGTGCGTCTGGATGTGGGTGTGTGCATCTTGGTATGTGTGCGTCTGGATGTGGGTGTGAAGCCAACCAGAAGAGCGCCTGCCCACGGTGGTGGGGATTGGTTGGATACGACCTGACAGGCGGCCGTGCAGCTACTGAGCAATGACAGCTTCCTGTCTGCCTGCTTTAACAGCAAGGTGTGTGAATGTGGGTGCGTGCGTGTGTGTGTGCATGTGTGGGTGTGGGTGTGTGCGCGCGCGCGCGCACATAAAAGAGTAGCACTACTGGAGGACTTAGGCCCTGATGTGATAGCAAAGCGACTGCCCACAGTGGTTGCGTTGGGATCAGATTGGGTTCGCGGTAAGCAACTTAGCATCCCTCACTGGCTGGGTGCGTTCTTTGCCAGGCAAATCAGAGGAAGAAGGCCGGCGTGGTGTATTCTAATCAGACAAAGACTACAACAAGCCGACCTTCTCCCTTTGGTATGCTTTTGAGGGCGTCTCAAATCCCGACCTTCTCCCTTTGGTATGCTTTTGAGGGCGTCTCAAATCCCGACCTTCTCCCTTTGGTATGCTTTTGAGGGCGTCTCAAATCCCGTCTCAAATCCGTTGTCTCAAATCCGTCGCCTCAAATCCGTCGCCTCAAATCCGTCGCCTCAAAAGCAGATTCTCTTTCCGAGTTGACTCCAAGGCCCTGTTCTGTTGCCCATCGTCTAATTGTGGGCGGACAGCACAGCACAGCACAGCACTGGCCAGGTTCGGGATGTGTTTGTTCTCTGTTCTTTTGCGTTTGTTGGTCCGCACAGCACAGCACAGCACTGGCCAGGTTCGGGATGGAGTTCAAGGTCCCGAGCCTGTTTCAAGGAATACACCCTTGAAAAGGAATCTTTGAGGATCACCGGTAGAAGCCCTATCGAAGCATCATCTGGTGCTGTGCGGAGGGGTCCGCACTAGTAGTGCGGCAACAGAACAGGGCCCAAAAGCGCACAACAGGATGACCTTCTCCTGCTGGTACGCTGGGATCAGCAGGAGAAGGTCCAACAGGAGATGACCTTCTCCTGCTGGTACGCTGGTACGCTGGTACGCTGGTACGTACTTCCCCTTCCTGCCAAACCGACCTTCCCCTTCCATCGCACTCTCCCATTCCACCCCTCTTCGTTCCTGCCCCTCCCGTTTTTGAGGCGCCTGAAAAACCCTTCCATACGCACACCCCCATCCTTCCATACGCACACCCCCATCCTTCCATACGCACACCCCCATCCTTCCATACGCACACCCCCATCCTTCCATACGCACACCCCCGTCCTTCCATACGCACACCCCCATCCTTCCATACGCACACCCCCATCCTTCCATACGCACACCCCCATCCTTCCATACGCACACCCCCATCCTTCCGTACGCACACCCCCATCCTTCCGTACGCACACCCCCATCCTTCCATACGCACACCCCCATCCTTCCATACGCACACCCCCATCCTTCCATACGCACACCCCCATCCTTCCATACGCACACCCCCATCCTTCCATACGCACACCCCCATCCTTCCATACGCACACCCCCATCCTTCCATACGCACACCCCCATCCTTCCATACGCACACCCCCATCCTTCCATACGCACACCCCCATCCTTCCATACGCACACCCCCATCCTTCCATACGCACACCCCCATCCTTCCATACGCACACCCCCATCCTTCCATACGCACACCCCCATCCTTCCATACGCACACCCCCATCCTTCCATACGCACACCCCCATCCTTCCATACGCACACCCCCATCCTTCCATACGCACACCCCCATCCTTCCATACGCACACCCCCATCCTTCCATACGCACACCCCCATCCTTCCATACGCACACCCCCATCCTTCCATACGCACACCCCCATCCTTCCATACGCACACCCCCATCCTTCCATACGCACACCCCCATCCTTCCATACGCACACCCCCATCCTTCCATACGCACACCCCCATCCTTCCATACGCACACCCCCATCCTTCCATACGCACACCCCCATCCTTCCATACGCACACCCCCATCCTTCCATACGCACACCCCCATCCTTCCATACGCACACCCCCATCCTTCCATACGCACACCCCCATCCTTCCATACGCACACCCCCA